AACATGGAAGCAAACTAAAAAAAAAAATTACCTGATTGGCTACAGCTAAGCATTTTCTTTATTTGCATATGGTCTGATAGGAGATTTAGTTACATAGCCAGGTGGCTGGTTGACTGTGATTGGAGCTGTTATATTTTTTCCCCTTAACTTAGTGTCTTTGTCCATTTTCAGTTGCTATAACAAAAAACATGAGTCTGGGAAATTTATAAAGAAAAGAGATTTATTTCACGAAGAGTTCTAGAGGCTGGAAGTTTAAGTTTAAGATCAGGCTGTAAATCTAAGATCAGGTGGTTACAACTGTTCAGCATCTGGTGACTGGAGAAAAAAAAACCAGAAGGACAAACAAGCCCATGTGAAAGAGAATCAAAAGGGATAACCTTACTTTATAATAAGTTTATAATTTTTTTTTTTTTTTGGTACCAGGGATTGAACTCAGGGGCACTTGAACACTGAGCCACATCCCCAGTCCTACATTTTGTATTTTATTTAGAGACATGGTATTACTGAGTTGTTTAGCACCTTGTTTTTTGCTGAGACTGACTTTGAACTCGCCATCCTCCTATTTCAGCCTCCGGAGCCACTGGGATTACAGGCATGAGCCACCGCACCCAGCTTAAAGTTTATAATTTATAATAATAACTTGCTCTGGAGGTAACTAATCCAGTCCCTCTAGAGCAAGAACTCACTCATTCCCAAGACAGAGGATTAGTAACATATTTACAATGGCTTAACCCCCTTGACTTGAACATCTCTCACTAGCACCTCTTCTGCAGTATTGCCACATTGAAGAAAAGAAACTGAACATGAATTTTGGTAGGGATAAACCATATTCAAATTATAGCGGTCGTGTTGAGCTTTAGTTTGATAACATAAGAGCTTTGGGTATAGAGGTAACCTTAGGCTGATGGCTTCCTTTTTTTTTTTTTTTTTTTTTTACATATCCATAATGTTTTGTGACTCTACAAAAAAAGTCATCATAAAGTAAAAGATATTTGTTGTTCCACTTCAAAGTATGTACTCAAAAGGATTAAAAACAGGTATTCAAACAGATATTCGTACATCACCATAATCAAAGGTGGAAACATCTAAAATGTTCAACAATAAATGAGTGTAAATAAAATGTGGCATACTCTTACAATGTATTTTACATTCATAAAAGAAACAAAGTACTTATATATGTTACAATGTAGATAAATCTTGAAAGCATAATGTTTGATTCTATTTACATAAAATATTCAGATTAGTTAAATTCATAGAGATAAGTAGATTAGTGATTGCCAGGAATTGGGGAGAGAGGGATTGTTTAGTGGATATGGGGCCTCCTTTGGAAGTGATGAAAATATTTTGGGACTAGAGAGGTGATGGTTGCACAACATTATAAATGTACTAACTACCATTTGTTGTATACTTTCAGCTGGCTAATATTTTGATACATAAATTTCATATCAGTAAAAAAAAATAAAGCAAAGCAAAACCAAAACAAACAAATTGCTCTGAAAAAATAGAGCTACTTCTAATAATGAGACCAGAAAAATTATTATTTAAGGAAATGAACCATCAAGGCTGGGTGCTTTTTTGGTACACGCCTGTTATCCCAGAGGCTTGGGAGGCTGAGGCAGGAGGATTGCAAGTTCAAAGCCAGCTTCAGCAATTTACTGAGGTCCTAAGCAATTTGGTGAGACCCTGTCTCAAAATAAAAAACAAAAAGGACTGGGCATGTGGCACAGTGGTTAAGCACTCCTGGTATCCTCTCAACCCCCCCCCCAAAAAAAAAAAAATCAGCAGTATCTTTATTTGAACCGAATGTTAGGTTTCATATCATTACATACATGATCCTATAATGTAAATTAATGTCATGACTCTAAAGGGCAGTATAGTGACAAATATCAGGAACTGGGAGAAAGAAGCAGGGGAGCAAGGTGTTAGTAATGTGGTCCAAGCTTTATCAGTCTTTGATGAGCAGGATTAAGGAAGGAACAAAATTAAAAGCATCCAGAGGAAGAGATGGGCTATCTTTCTGAAATCTGTTGTAAATGTGTCCTTCAATTAAATTTTGAGAAGCTGTTGAGAAGGAGTGAGTTTAAGATCGCACTCCCTGTCAAGTATATGGGTTCAGTTAAGAATAGGGCCTGGAAGTCTGGAAGCAGAAGTAAGATCCATTGGCAATTGAGAAGAATATGGGAAATGAGTAGTGACAGGGCTGAAGCTGAGAAGGTTCTCCTGAGAAAGTATCTTGTCTGTTCAAACCACCCAACGGGGAATTATAAACCCACATAATTCCCTTCAATAAATCATGTCATGGTATCCTTGGGGAGGAAAAGTGTTTTTGTTGATCAGATGAAACCATGTATATGGAAGTTCTTATAAAATATAAAGTTATATGTTAAAACAGTAAACAACAAATTTGTCATTTTCATGTACAGTATTTATTCACAATTCTCAAAAAATATTTATTGAATATTTAATGTTTGCCAAGTAAGGTAGGTAGGCAATGTTGTCAACATTAAAAAAAAAAAAAGAATAAATTGAGGTTCTGAGAGCCTAAGATTTGCCCTAAATCACTTAGAGACAGGAGGCCCTTGGTTTCTAGTTCATTTTAAACCTTACTGCCTCCAACGGCTGAAATGACCAAGAATTACGTTTACCAAAGCCCTAAATATTCATTATATCTTAGATATGATTATTTAATACCTTGGGAAAAGTTTCAGCATTTCTATTTCTGTCTGTGCTATAGCATTTTAATTGCTATTACACAGAGTACTCAGGAGGCATGCTACTAAATTGGATACACACAATGTTTGCCTTTTCATTCATTGAGTGAATACTGTGTAAAGGCATGTTACTAACAGTTAAGCAGATAAAAATCTCACTTAATCCTTAATATAATCTTCTGAGGAAGGCTTTTCATCC